GCATTATATTAAAAAAATGCTATTTGCTTTGTCTCATTTTGTCATCATAATAGCCCTCGGAGGGAATAAAGTACCTTATACACTCGAGTATAAGCTGACCCGAATATCAGCTAAGACACCTAATTTTACTAGAAAAAAAATGCATTAAAATGTGCTGAAAGACTCGGCTTATACACGAATATAGTAGGTAGGTGGTATAAGTACTCTCAGAAGGGTAGAAAGGCCAAGGTGTTTCGTCAAGTTCAAATGACCAGAAAATATTAAGGCAAATGCTAAAGCCAAATGTCTCTCTAATGTGTATGCTGATAAGCATGCTGCTTGTACTCATTCTTCATAGAAATTAGATTCATGGAAGCATTACAATTAGAAGATTCAACCAACGTATTATAAAAAAAAATTATCAACCATCTGAAAGTTCTGGAAAGGAAATTCAGTCAAAAAACAAAGTCATTCAAATCAAGAGACTATTTACTCAAAAAAATGAATAATTTTTTACCACAATAGAAATATTTAAATAAGTTGATGATGTTTTTGAAATGACATTAGCATAAGACTGCTTCCAAAGGGCATTTTCCTCTAAGTGAAGGAACACATTACATCTCAATACAGATACTACAAAGGGGTTCTGGTACAGTGGTTCTGCTGTACGTTGGTTGTGATGTAAGTTGAATGCCAAAGTTGTTTTCACCTATAATCTTCATTATTATTGCCTTTTTTATCAGTATCTTTATAAATTCAATATGTTTGTCTTTGGAATTGAAAATATTGAATACTGTAACATTGAAAACATTACAAATAAACATCTCTGAGGACTGATATCAGTAAACCACACACTGTAATACTAAATATAGTATATATTACTAACCGGAGGGAATAAAATAAAGAAAAATAAACAGATGGCTAGTAAGTGCAGTGTGTCATACTTACTCAAATCTGTTGTCTCAGATGATTTGTACCTAAATAATCTGTTATTCAATCACAATCTAGAATGGCTCTCAAAGCTTATGATGTCAGTTTCCTAACTTTACAGACGATAAAACAAAAGCCCCAAAAAGTTGTGTTTTGTTTTTTTTTGTTTGGTTTTTTTTTTCTTTTTTTTGTTTTTAAACATTTTATTAGGGGCTCATACAACTTATAAACGAAAAGCCAAGCCTATTGTTGTCAGTTAATTTCAGTTCAGCAAACCTGTAGGGCAAAGTAGAACTGAATCTGGTTTCTGACAGTCACATCTTTCGCCTATGAAGGGCTGCTGAGTTTGAACTGGTGACACTACGGTTAGTATCCCGGTGCTTACCTCACTGCACCAACAGGGCTTAGTGTGTTTTGTTTTTATTGATAAGCCGTTTTATTGGAGCTCCTACAGCTCTTCTAACAATTCATACATCAATTTTATCAAAACACATTTGTACATATGTTGCCATCATCATTTTCAAA